CAGAAGTCGAAGGAGGAACAGTTGTTTCCTATTCACTGGAATTTTTCTCCCCTAAAATGTCTTAATGAATAGGAAGCTTGAAGATAAGTGAACTTAGATAAGACTTTCAAGTTTGTTAGTTCTTTCTGATTCTTCAAGGGAGTGCAGTGGTAGCAGTTCCTTGTATCTGCAGGGGCCCAAAGATAATTTCCAAAAGAAAACAAAACTGGTAAGGTTTGACTATAGCACCAAAACTGTAGTAACTTGAAGCAGGACTGTAGAACTTCTGTGGCCAGATACCAGGACTGCCACATGCTCCAAGCCAAACACAGGCATGCAGATGTGGTTAGCAAAATACCTCACAGAGCTACATAATTAATGCATAGATGTGCTACCTTGGGTTCACTGCTACACTGACTTGGCCCATGACTTCTGGCTGTCTCAAAGTGTCTGTCAATCTGTTGTGCAGATAGACAAGCTTCACACTGTTACATAGCTTCCAGAATCTGGCCCTTAGCTGAAGGAACATGCAACTTGTCTCAGGCCGGTGAAGCAGTGCTTGCTGGCAGGTGTAGAGAATCCACTTCCACTAAGCCACCATGCACAGATCAAAAGCAGGATGATTTTTTTAAAGGAGAAAAGACGTTTTGGAATTTGAGTCTATAGTTTGTCTTGTCCAGGAGCCAGCAGTGAAGAAATGAAGCACAGGAAGACTGCCTCAAAACAGCAAATGGCCTTTTCTAAAGGTGTGCAAAGTGTTTAAAAGAAAGTAACAATTTACACTTTAGGCAAATATGCAACAAAACATTGGCTTTGCCTTATCTTCTATTTCAGCAACAAGAAAACTTCTTTATAGGCTGTGAGCTTGCATCTGTCTTTCATTATATGATTGCACAAAGGCTGGCACAAAGAGGCTCTGATCCCCACTGACAAATAGTAAATAAATAAATAAATAAATAAAAAATTTACAGGACATTACCAGGATGTGAAAAGCTATGTACAGTTGCTACTTTTGTAGTCTTAATGACCTATTTCTAAAAATTGATGGTATTCAGATCACTAATTTTCTTAAAACTATTTATATGGGTATTAAAAAAAATTGTACAGGTCTTGCGTGTAGATGCAAGAACTTGTCCTTTCTTAACTAGATTGAAAGATCCTTCCTGAGGAAAAGGGATCTCCGAGGCCTTCAGGTAGATTTAGGATTCAGGATTTCAGCTAGAGAAAAGTAGTGTGCCAAGCTGTAACCCTTTTCCACATCTGCATGCCAAGATAAGTATGCATATCTGTGTTTCTGACTGCTTGCATGTATTCTTTGAATTTCAGGTTTCACGTGAAAACTTTTTTAAACGTAAGTTCTGCTATTTAAATCTGTTGTTATTTTTTGATCACAATGTCAAAGACTAGAGGTATTTGACATCCATCCTGATCACCTGCTGTGTCCTGAAAGCTTGTTATGTACTGTACATTTTTTATTTCTTTGATTTAAAAGTAAAATCCAACACAACATAGTATTGAGTACTGTACAAAGCAGGATTATAAACTCTGTATGTTGTGTGCTTTACCGGGCCTTTCTCTCTTTGTAAAAATAAAGCTGTTGCAAGCCAGAAAGTTTCAAAGGTAAAGCCAAGCTTAAACCAAACAAGAGAGTTGGCTTGAATCTCTGCAACAAGCCTTCACCAAAACAATAGACCTGATTGTACTTATTTACAGACAGAAAAATTCAGAGAAGAGTGTGTACCAGAAGACTTTGTGGCAGGAAATAAGGCCACAGTGCTCTTCTTTGCTTCTCTATTTGAAAACAGAGCTAAACCAGATCTCAATTCAAACTGTAACTGTATTGTTATTTGTGCTCTATGTAAGGGAAGAACTAAAGACCACTTTTTCTCTAATTAATCTGCTATAGAGAAATAATGAATTTCCCACATACTCTCCCTTCACTGTCCAAACTTTATCCTGTTATCAAAAGTTTGCCCAGATCACAAAAAGACCCAGATTGCCTCTCAGCTTTTCTCAAAATTTTAAAATAAAATTGAAATACTTCCAAAATTTTACTTTTTCTTTGATCATAATGTATTAACAGAAAAATGTTCTGCCATGTAAGTCTTCCAGCAGTAAATTACCGGTTACAAGCCTGAACTTTCAACCTCCACTTCCAAAAAGGAAGAATGAGCACTGGGGTTTTGCCCTTTGATAGGTATTTTTCTAGAGCTAGATTTAAACCAGAATCCTTTTTTCCCTTGTACCTAAATCCACTGAACCTTTTGCAACAGGAAGACTACTGCCTTATACTTACGTCTTGGTTTAATGACAATATGTTCAGGAGGTGAGACCTCTAATGAGATGAACTCTCTTTTTTTTTTTTTTTTTTTTTTTTTTAAATTTCCTTCTACCCCAGTAGAGACAAGGTACAAATTACAAGGAGTCTGAGTGAAGAAGGAAAAATAACAATTTTTGCTAAACACTGAAATGAACAAGTAAATAACAATAGCATAAAATATTACCTAGATAACTTTCTCCCCTCTAGGTTAAACCAAAATCTGGAAGGGTATTTCATCCAAAAGAAATTGCTGTGCCACCAAGGTGATGACGTGGGTTCTGGCATAGCAAACTGTATGGAGTGACAGTGGCGGGGCAGGACTGACCTGGTGCAGTGCTTGGGCCCAGTGATTTTCGACCATGCAGTGGCAGTTTTTTGTGCAGCTCCTGAGAGGGGAACCCCCAAGTTGTCAGCAATGGCTGGTCGTGCTGGGACAGCTCAGCGGGGGCCATGCTGCCCTTGGTCTGATGTGAAATACAGTGCAGCTGAGGCAGAAAAAAAACTGCAGCTGAGGCAGAAAACACTGTTCTGAGGCAGGGTGGTCCATGGTGCTCCAGCAAGCAAAAACCAGGTACAAAGAGAGCGAGTTCCATTGCAGACCTGCCTTTTTGTCTCCTATCTCCCAAATTACCAGTTGTTCCTCATGCTTCACTTGAGGGACCCACCTTTCCAGAATGCTGGGGACAGTCCTCCCCAGTCCAGCTCAGATGGGGAGCGGTCCCCCACATTCCAGATTATGTAGTGGTATGAAAAAGTTCACTAAAAATCCTTCCCATTTAACTAAAGCTACAACTTAGCAGAACTTCTGACTGGAGTTCAACCCTTTAGTTTTAGGCTGCATTAGACTCAAAGTCAATTAGCTGAAAATTTGCTCACTTGGTACAAAGCAATTTAGATGATGATCTGGGGCTAAGGCCATGGCTTGTATGTGGGGATAGATTATGACAAGAAATGTTTGGAGTGGTGTGATCCAAGATTATTCAATATTGAAAGAAAATGACCAAAACCACATTGCAACAGTGAATGAGAAGTCAGAATGGCTAAACTTGTTAAGCCAAGGGCTTACAAATGACAAATTTCTAGCCAAGATTGTGCTAACTTCCTTTTAGTGGAGACTTGTTTTTTAAGACAAGTTTTATTTTATATCTTAATACTAAAAAAATGATCCTTTAATGTCAGAAAGGGACATGCAGCTTCCATTTCTTTCATATCAAAAGCTGTAACAATCTGCTCTTTTTAAAAGATGCAGAAAAGTGTTATAGAATGAAGGTGGAGAAAAAGGTCTTAGAAATTTACGTGATTATTTAAACCTAAGAAGATATATTTTTCCTCAACAGCAATAAGACTTTCCTAGCTGGGAAGATAAGAAGTCTGTGAATAAGGTTGTCATTAATGATACCTAATAGGATGAAATTATTTGAGGGCAAACAGAGAATACAGACATCTTTTAAAGATATTGTCTAGTTATGTGGTTGTGTTTACATCAAAATCCTGTCCTACCAAGACTATAATCAACATTTATGATTCTCTGTTAAAAAAATGTTGTAGTTCTCAAGCAAAGGGTGTAACAAGTGTTCATTTCATCTGGTATTTTACCAGATGTCATTGAGGACCAGATTTTCTTACAACAATAAGGTGGAGGACTATGGAACCTAAATAATCTGAAGCAGTCATATTGCCAACATTTGCTCTGTTATTGTCTCGGTCTCATGATCTTCAAAGTTTTTTCTAAATCTTGGTTCCTATATTCCTGTAATTATGTGACAAAATTCAGGTTATTGCTGAAGAACCCAGTGAATCTCTAGCTAATGAGGTTGCTTGCACAGGAAAACTTGAAATACTGTTCTTCAAGGATCAAAAACTGGAAAGGAAATAAAAAGAACTCATGTTTATTTTGCCTAAAGACTCATGATTTTGAAACTTTTCTTGCTCTCCTGAGAACCTGTCTCATATTTTTCAGTGCTAAATGGTAGCAAGAAAGTATATATGGGTAAGAAGATCCTCATATTCTCAGTTACAAGGGACTTTAGGTAGTATCATGGTCTTCGATTTTTATATCAGGTATACTAGGTTCAGGGTTAGGGTTATGTCTTACAAATCTCCCAAAGGATTAAAAAAAGGGGCTTTTCTAAGGTCTTCTCAGTAAAATAATAGTAAGTCCCTAATTATGTGACTTATGAAATCTTAGGTTAAGGAAATGCAAATACGTGTCAAATTTTTCTTGTTATTGTTGATTTAAGTCACTGAGGCGAAGAGAAAGGCTAGTGAGGAGAGCTTAGATAAAGTTAAATCATGTAGTTCTTTTTTTTTTTTTTTTTTCTCTACAAACAAAGAGGAAAATCTGGCTGGAAGAGAGTGGCTGTGTACATACACTTCTCCACAATATGTGCACAAGCAGAATGAGATCTGGCAAGACCCTCTTTTGCTTAATGACAGGGCTGTGGCACAGTGCACATGTAGTGCACTTGCTGTTTCCCATTGACACATTATCTTGATGTTTTTTCGATACTTTTGCAGAAAGAAGAAAAAAAAGTGTAATTTTCCAATTGAGTTATTTTTAGATGTAGCTATTTCAATCACTTTTATTTGTCTAAACAGAAACTCTCTACATCCAGCAGCCATGGAGCCCAGCCTGCTCCATGATACTGCAAGTGGCTGTCCTAAATCGACCTTCTAATCTTCTCTTCTTTCTTTTCTGCAGGATTGTCCACCAGAAGCAGGTGATTTCCGTGCCCAGCAGTGCTCTGCTCACAACGATGTCAAGTATCAGGGACAGTTTTATGAGTGGCTTCCTGTCTCTAATGACCCTGACAACCCATGCTCGCTGAAGTGCCAGGCCAGAGGAATGGCTCTGGTTGTGGAGCTGGCACCAAAGGTTCTGGATGGGACCCGGTGCTACACTGAATCCCTGGACATGTGCATCAGTGGCTTGTGCCAAGTAAGGAGAGAAGCCCTACCCAAACACCTAACTACTTTCCTCAGATCTCTCTCATGTGCTCACTCCCTCTCCTCCATATTTGTGTCGTTTTAGGGACTTGGTTTTAATAATCTGTTTCCATTCTCTTAAACTGATTTCTTGTACTTTTTTTTGGTAGAGATGTTCAAGTCCCAAGATTATTTTCACACTTTATATTGTTTCCGTAGTGTTCTTTTAAAGGATTGTGTTATCAGTTTTTGAACTCTTTTGTATAGTTAGCTGCAGTAGCAGATCTGATTTGAGGCACCAAAAGAAAATAATGTAGTTTTTAATCTGGATACACCAAAATTTTCCTAGTCTATCAAATTACATTATCTTTGAGGATTATTGCTCCCTGTAAGTCACAAACTACATGGCAGTAGATGGGGTACTAAAGTGAAAAAACTGCCACTCCTCCTGTAAGACAAAGAAAGCTGCTACATCCCCTTGGACCTCAGCATCCCCATTTGTTGAAAGTGGAAGATGGGGACTTTTTCATTCTGCGCTTCAATGCATGGAGATCTATTGGTCATTCAAACAATTTGTTCACATCCTAATTTGTTTTAATATTACCTTTGTGCTTTCATTTATATATTGCTACTGTTTTGAACCAATCTACATCAGACTTTAGTCTTCTGAAGTACATGTATGCTACAGGCTGATGCAGGGGAAGGAAGACTTTCACTCCATCTCTGCTAAGTACTGAACACAACTAAAATCTTGAAAACAATTTAGTGTAAATTCATGGTTCAGTGCCCAGTGTCTTTCAAATCTGTGTAGACTTGATGTGTTGTTGGCTTTTTAGTGAATTTTCAGCCACTTCATGTTCCTCTAGGAGCTTTTCTCCCTGTTTCTTTTCTCTCTGATTTTCTGTTCTGAGCCAGAAGCAGTGCTGCAGTAAATGAAACAGAGTACACACTTACTAGGCTAATCTCATTTGTGATCTGAAGAAGGCAATCACCTAGACCTCTTGACCTCAGCTGAGTGCACATTTCTCAAAATTCTAGATTGCCTAATTTCAGTCTTATTTTGAGATTTTAAATATTTTAAAAACTTAACTGGAAGCATAGGAATCTGGATGGGAAAAAGATTCAAAGCTTTGTGCATATAGTGGCCTAGAAATTAGGAATAGAGAATTTGACCTCTGTCAGGCTGATTTCTGTTTTGATCCAAATATGAAGCATACTTTTTTCAAGAAAACCTTCCCCTAGAAACAGAGTTCATAATCATCCACTACTGAAACAAACTCATTTGATTTCTCTAACAATTCTTACTTCTTGGAAGGTTGAAAGTTGCTGCAATATTATAACTGATGTTATTTCTTAATTGTCTCTGTGGCTGGAGAACAGAAGGATATATATTAGCACTAGTGTCCCTGAAGAATTTCACCTAAAGTAACCCTTCCATTATATACCATAAAATGATAGAATAATTTTAGTACATAAAGACAACTATATATTTTCCATGTTCTTCAGCATTCAGTTTATCAACTTTTGGCCTATATTTACAATTACTGCATCATTTTTTAGGATGACTCAAACAAACTAAAATGTAAATGCTCATGCTGTATTCCTCACAGTGAAAAGTTTTGTATTTTGGTACATGTTAAATTTACAGCTATTCAAAGTATTCTTGTCTCAATGTATCTCTCTTAACCAGCCATCTCTTTGTGACAGCAGAGGTACGGCATTAGAAAGTTTGTAACTGGATTTACCCTAACTATATGCTTTAGGAGGGCAACTGCTTTGCTATCATCACAATAACTAATAGTACATAAGCAGTCCATAAAGGTTAACCGTATGGAATTTGCCGTAATAAATGGTGAACCCTCCTTAAAAGCAATGGTGTTCCATGACCTTCTATAAAGGTTCTTTTAAAAGAATGGGAAACTGCAGTGTTATGGAAGAACAAGAGGACAAATCTTCCTCTGCAACATTTGTTTGAATAAACTTACTTCGATAAGCATGGTGAATGCGTGTGAACTTCAGAGAAGAAAAAAAATTATGTTAGAAATTATTTCTATTCATTTGCAGTAGTAGCTTCAAGCTACTACTTACCTAAGAATGTTGACACGTTGTAAACATAGCAGTCAGGTGTCTCAGTAGTTTGTGAGAGTTCATAATGGTCCTAAGAGTTCAGCAATATTTGGGGCAGTGCAGCAGACAGCTGTAATAATATGAAGGCATAGTTTTTCACAACTGTAGAAAATGAAGTCTCCTAAGGTGTATATTCTGTGTAAAGACCTGAAGATTAAAAAATGAAATATGCTTCTTCTGTAGTTTAAGTTTTGAGGGCAAGTGCCAGATTCTGCACCTGAGATGGGGCAACCTAGGATGTTGTTGTGGTTTTGCTCTGGGTCAATTTTACTCACACACCCCCATACACAATTACTATTAGTTGAGAGAAGGTTTATGCAGACAAAAGAGACCTGATTGGGGAAAAATAATATTAACATTTATTACTAGCAAAATAAAACTAAAGAACGACATCTACAATAATTCTATTTAGGTAAAAAGTATTATGTATTTATAGAAATACCTCTCCCCCCTTTTATCAATCCAAGGAGGAGAAGCAGTCTCGTTCTCTATTCTCGGAGCTCCAGGTCTTTTCAATAACTTTGCAACACTCTAAAGTTCTTCTCCTGTTATCTCGGGACGACAACTCCTTTTCGTCACAGCTGGAACTCTATCTCTCTTTCTTCTGTGTCAGCCTGAGGCAGGGCTGGGCCTACCCCTCTCCTGGGCTAAGACCGGAGGCTGGGGGTTACCCAGGCCCTGAAGGTCTTCTCTTCCATGAATTGCAAGGAGACACTTGCCTACCATGGATCTTCACCACAGAGTCACAGGGGATAATGGTTTTTGAGTCCACCCCTGTTTCTTGTGGAGGTCCCTCCCCACAGGAGAACAGTCCTTGATAGACCTCTCCGACATGGGTCTAGCATGGATCCCTCACACAGATCCCAACATCTTACCCGAGCCATTCTCACTCCGGCGTAAGTCTCGTCTCTCTCAGAGTCACAAAACTTCAGCAGCAGCATGGATCCCACACATGGATCCCAACATCCTGCCTGGACCGTGTTGCTCCAGGGTAGGTTTTCCTCACGGTCACAAAATCTTCAGCAGGACTCTACCTCACCTCTGGTCTCTCATGAAGTCTCGGCTTCCTCATGCGTCAACTTATTCCAGTGTAGGCTCTTCCACGAGCAGCATGGGGTCTTCTCACCCCAACAAACTTCCAAAGGTAGCAGGGATTTATTTTTCAGTCTTTTTCCTGCTGAAAGGAGAGAGCGAAAGGGGGGGAGAAACAGCCCCACCCCCCCTTCGAACTTCTCTTGTCTCTCCTCCAGCTGCCAGCTTTGGCCTTGAACACTTTGTTATCTCTCTGCTGGAATTCTTCTGCAGCGGTTTTTCATTCAAGCAGTCAGTTCTTCTCTAAAGTTTTTTTTTTTTCTCTGCTCCATTATAGGAGAGAAGGAGGGCTTCAGTGCTACACCTGCCCCCGGCCCTGGACCGGGGAAGGAGGGACGCCTGGCACCCACCTGGGGCCTACCACCTCTCCTACATGGCTACTGCTACTAATTTCAACTGCACCACAACCTTCTCTTCCGTTTTCTTAAATATGTAATTAGCAAAGGTGTTACTGAACTTTTTGACTGGCTTTTTCTCCAGAAATCTACTTGGACAAAACCATCCTCAGCCCCAGGGGCTGGCTGGTGGGCAAAACCATTACAGATGTACATACAGACTGGGGAATGAGAGGCTGGAAAGCAACATTGTGGAAAAGGACCTAGGGATCCTGGTCAATGGCAAGTTGAATATGAGTCATTGTGCCCTGGCAGCCAGGAGGGCCAACCATGCCCTGGGGGCATCAGACAAAGCATCCCCAGCTGGTTGAGGGAGGGGACTGTCCCACTCTGCTCTGCACTGGTGCTGCCTCAGTACAGGCATTGAATATTGTGTGCAGTTTTGGGCACCAAAATGTAAGAAAGATACTAAGTTCTTAGCATCCGAAGGAGGCCAACAAAGGTGAAGGGCCTTGAGGGGAAGCCATATGAGGAGAGGCTGAGGTCACTTGGTCTTTTCAGCCTGGAGAAGAGGAGACTGAGGGGAGATATCACTGCAGTCGCAAGTTCCTTGTGAGGGGAAGCAGAGGGGCAGGCACTGATCTCTTCTGTGTGGTGACCAGTGACAGAACACAAGGAAACAGCATGAAGCTGAGTTTAGGAGGTTTAGGTTGGATATCAAGAAAAAGTTTTTCACCCAGGCTGTGGCTGAGCATTTGAGCAGACTCCCCAAGGGAAGTTGCTACAGCGCCAAGTCTGACAAGGTTTAAGATGCTTTTGAACAATGCTCTCAGGCGCATGGTGTGAATCTTGGGATGTCCTGCACAGGGCCAGCAGTTGGGCTCGATGATCCTTGTGAGTCTTTTCCAACTCAGCAAATTCTATGGTTCTATGATAAAAGGTTATTTGCGATAATTGCACTAGGTTGAAGATAAAGAGATATATTTTCTGAATTGCTCAGAGCAAAACTAATGAAAGCATCTGTAAGTTTACCATCCTATTGGCTTACATTGATCCAAGTGTTATGGCAACAAAGAAGGAATTGAATGCTGCCCAGATAGAGCATTTTATGAAACATGTATCTATTCAGTTACAGTCTATACAGGAATTAATAAGACTTAAGATCAGTGTATGGTTATGTAGACATAGAGCATTTTTCCCAGTGGTTAAAACAACAGTGTGAATTTTCTTAACTAACCACAGGGATACAGCATGCAAGATTTGGGTCAGCCCATGGCCTATTGTGTGCTCACAAGCTGTTCTTCAGGTTATTAATGGCAGAAATGAATGGTTGTATTGCCTTCTGTGTGTCTTGGTACTCACTCCTGATTTAAAGGTGATGGTTTTCCCTCTCATTGCTAAGTATGCATTTGTTAAAAAAGTACAGTATTTGGAAATTAGAAGATACCTCTCTCATATT